TTTTTCTGTAGCATCCCGAGTTATGATTTCGCAAACTAAAACGTATTTTCAGAAAACAATTTGCGAGAATTGCACTCTGATTTTAATAAGCTAGCGGGGTGTTACAATAAATATAGAGATTTTTCTGATTGAATTAAAAAAAAATTATTCCATTTTTGCATAATTGAGAAAAAAATAAATCATTCTTATTAAAATTTACCCAATATTTACTATTCTATTCATAATATCATCAATACAAATATTTGAGTAGTGGATGTTTTAAAAGAGGATTTCGATGTAGGCTGTGGGGTTTTCCTAAATTAGGGGGACTTCTGGATCCATTATTGCTCATGTAAACTCAATTATGTCCTTATGTTGCTTTAAACCACTCTCCATACTGCCCCTCTTTCAGACAATTGAGTCTAATATATTTCAAATGTTTTGGGCAACCCCTATCTAAGTGACCAATCAACCCACAGTAGTGACATAGGTTGACCAATTTTTCATACTGGAAACAATAATCAACCACTTGGCTTCCCAGTCCAATGTTTGCACACCTTGGTAAAGTCTCTTTTAAGTTTATGGTAACATGGAGTCTGATGATTCTTCCACATGATTGCATGAGCTAACCACAACCAAATTTCTGACCCCTTTAAAAACTTTCCATATTTTCAAGCCTACCTCCGCACTGAGCCAATTTAGAGAGGCATTTAATACATGCACCCATATCTGAAGTTTGTTTAAGCCTTGATGGGAACTAGTCATCCCCTCCTGCCATTCCTAGACAATAAGGAACTGATTCTCAAAGCTCCAGTTCGTACCGCTAGCAAATTTCTTCATATCCTCTTTATTTTGAAAGATGAACTGGAAAAAAAATTGTGCCCTAATTCATTGATTTCCATGTTCTGTTGTAGCCTCCAAATCTAGTTCATAGTTTGTTCCACTCTGATCCAGCTTGCTTTACGATCCCCATCTATTTTTCCAAACAAGCTCCGATGGAACTCCTCGACACTAAGTCAGATGTCTTCGTGAGAAATATCGATGACTTTTGATTCATTTTTCGAAAGAGAGCAGTTTTTATTTGGCCTCCGCCAAATCTTCATCTCTTCCTATGCAATATAATTCCTCCATTTTATAGAATCCCTAACAACCCAACAACAACCAATTGATTGAACTGTAACTGCCTAAAACATAAAATCGATTGAACTCTAGCTTCCTGAAGGTTAAAGAAGAATGCTCCTAGAGGAGAGAATCCCTAGCTCCCAGAATAGGGAGAATCTTTGGGGAGATAAATGGTTCAATATAGTGGATATGAATGACATTTGTGCAATAGAGGAAAAAAAAAAGGGGAAAGGGCCAGGAGTTTGCTGGGTTTCAATGATTTCATCTTTAGGATGGGTATGGAGGAGGTTAGAATGGAAGGGCATCAATTCACTTGGGTTAATAACAGAGAGACAGAAGGGTTTGTTGAGAAAAAATTAAACCAAGCTTTTGCATCTGTTGATTGGTTAGAAGATTTTCAAAATGCCTATGTTTTCAACTCAATTAGGAGTGCCTCATATCACTCATTATTTTTGGATACAGGGGTACTGAAACCTAAACTAAAGAGAAGATTCCTCTTTGATAAGAATTGGCTCAAACTGGAAGGAATAAACGAAGTTGTTAAAGATGCTTTGTCTACTCCTCAAATAGGCATCCATTCATTAGACTTAAGGAAAAAATCAAAGTAACCATAGTGGACTTGCTTTGTAGAGTTCTCAATTCAAAAGACAAACCTGACCCTCATTTCAGATTTAACTCAGAGGCTTGAAGTTTTGAGGACTATAAGCAGAGAAGACCATTGAGATGAATGGGAGTGTGTGATAAAGAAGATTGATGAAGCTCATAATAAGGAATAACAATTTTTGCAATAGGGAGCAAGAGTACATTGGTTGAACGAGGGGGATGGAAAAACAAAATTCTTCCGTGCCTATACCAGACAAATGAGGAAACTAAATTCTTTAACTAGGTTAATTGCTGGAGAGAATAGAATATGTCAAACGCAAGAAGATTTTAAAGCACATTACTCTAACTACTTTAAAACATTGTTCAATTCTGAGGGATCTTGGGGGGTGGAGGTAAGGAGGGAGAGGGGAAACGCTTATGCCTCTTATTCAACACTCAATCACCACAGATATGAACACAGAGCTGCTTAAGGAGGTGGATGATGAAGAGATTAAAAAAGGTGTCTTTATTTGGCAATCCCCCAGTGAAGATGGTATGAGTGCTTTATTCTTCCAACATGTTTGGAATCTTATTAAACTTGACTTGATTGATGCCATTAAGAATTTTGCTTCTTTTTTTTCCTGAAATGTTGCTCCAATAATGGAACAATACATTAATCACTTTGGCCACCAAATGCAAGAACCCTAAGCTCTTAAGCCAATTCAGACACATCAGCCTTTGTCATGTTGTGTATAAAATTCTCTCTAAAATCTTGGCTTTGAGAATGAAGGTTTGCTTGGATTCTTGTATTAGTTCTTGTCAGTCAGCTTTTTTACAGGGAAAACAACTATTAGATAATGTGGTTAATGCCCATGAGACTTTTCACTACCTGAATAGGCATAGAACAGGGAGAAACTGTTTTACGGCTCTGAAGTTGGAACTCATGAAGTCTTTTGATCGAGTGGAATGGAGGTGCATCCACGAAATCATGATAAAGTTGGGGTTTGATTTGAAATTTGTGAAACTGATTATGATGTGTATTTCTACCACTTCCCTAGATGATCGAAATACAAAGGACTAAATGTATTTATAGTATTCTCAAAGCACACACACTAATAAACGCACATTTAATGAATAACACTCGCGGGGTTGGCCAAACTGGGTTCGCGGGTGAGTTCGCGTGCGTGGCTCACGTGTATGATTTGCTTAATTTCGATTAGTTAGCATATCTTAATGAACCAACTGTAATATTATTAATCCACCTCAGCATGACGTGCCTTTTTCTGGTCGAATTTGAAGTTCTAAAAAAACGATGGTCCTATTTTTATTAACTTATTTTTAAAAGATACAAGACTAGTTAAGAAAAATTGATTCCACTTAGGCCAATAGTGAAACACCTTTATAATTATAAGTACATGACTAATTTTTGATATTTTCGCCATTGATAATTTTAAACTTGATGACAATACCTAGTGTGTGGGAGGGTGAACTACTTGCAACAAATATTATCATGCAGATAACATTAACCTCGTAGGAAAGCAGAAATGTAGCAAATTTAATTACATGAATAAGTAGCTGTCTATTTAATACTACTATACTAGCAGCATAGTATTTCCTTAATTAATTACCTATACACACTCCAAGCCAAGGCTTACATAACATTAGGTTTGGGTGAAGAAATAGAATTAATCATCCTCTTCCGCTTAGCTCTTATTTCCTTCAACCTCTTGTCCTTATAATAGTGATGGTGCCTCTCCCCTGTGTGTGAATCCTTTTAAATGCCACAACAGCTTTACCGGACAAGCCCGGGCCGTGTGGTGACACTAGTGGCTGACATGCAAAGTCCCCCACAGGGTGGCGAACCGGCCTCGTTGGCGCCATTACGATTCTCTCATTGATCTCCTTCAAGGTCATCATGTCCCCTTCAAATCCACCGGGCTTCACCAACGCAAATGGATACACCAACCTCTTCTTTCTTTTCTCTCCTGCCCCTCAAATTTAATATAATTACATTATTCTTCAATTCCCATATATGGACCGACACCTTATTTGAGGACCATCTATCTATGAATTTAATTATAAATCCTGAAATTAATGTGTGAATTAATCAACCAAGAATTCGTGGCCTAGTTATAAGTTAAAGATTAGTCTATTTTGAGTAATGTTTTGTACAAAGTCATACAGGAGACAAAGTCCATCAAGTTGGAATATAGTCTTTTTCTTTATGGAAATACAAAGAAGTCTATTTTCCTCTCCTAAAGTACA